TGATCAAGGTCAGGGGTATCTGAACGGCCACGCACCACGGCCATCAGAGCAGCGACATTGTCCAAGAACCAGAGTCCTGTTCTTCCTCGGAAATGCTCGGGGTACACGGAAAGGGCTGCAAGTACCATAAGCAGTTCCAGTTGTGCTATGTGCCACCCATCTGCCCGCCAGGAGTCGTACAACGTCTGGGGCACATGAACCACATGCCCCAGCCTAGCTTCACTAGCAAGCCCAGGATCGAGCAGCACTAGGAAGCCTGCCGTTCCCTGCCTGGGGGTTTCCAACGCAGCGTCTGAGGCTACTACGAACCTACGTGGGTTGGCTGGGGCTAGTGACCAAAGGCGTCTGGGACGTTCTGCCAAAACTGACTCAAGCAATTGGAAAGCGCTTTCCAGTGCCGGTGTCAACGCAGACGTCCGCTCATACTGTCTATCCTTGAGAGCCCCCAACCCTGCTTTCCCAACTTTCCCAAAAATCCCTTCCTGGAAAAAGTTGGTGCAGCCAAACAACTTACTAGCAGCGCCTGGTTTCAGCATCCCTGCTGACCTGGCTTCCTGGATGAAGTGGATCACCTTTTTCTCCAACCTGTCTCGGGGCCAGAAGGTTACTGTCTGCTTTGTGGTGAGGTGCTCCAGGTTATGCATCAGACCCAGGAAGTCGCCTTCACTGGAAAAAGGCTGAGATTTCTCGTCGGCCCAAGGAGTACCCAGCTCGGCCATGAATCCCTTCACGGCCACTTGAGCGGAGCCGTTTGAGCTCGCCCAGTCCTGCATGGTGCAGTCATCGAAGTACATGGAGAAGAGCACACCTAGGAAGCGACGAACCAGGGCCTCGCACAGCCTGCTGTATCGGTTGAAGGAAGTGACTGCAATTGGCAACCCAAAGAGCATACCACTGTACAGCTGGAATGCTGGACTGTTCCACTCCGGGTGCCAAAAGACCACCACACATGCTTCCGCATGCTGGGGAATCATTGGCACCAGGCGATATGCGTCTGGCCAATCTTCCCCTGCACTGTGTAATTGGTCAGGAATGCCTGCGATGGTGCCTCCTCGGAGGACCGCAGCTTGTTGTAGCGCCCAAACGTGCTGTGCCGGCCGGAGAGCCGAGCAAAACTCTCGCGCTTTATGTTTCCTCTGAATGTATCATCGTAGTACCAAGGGTGCCTAAAGCCACATTTGAAATGTATAGGACAATCATGATAACAATGATGAAGGTGATGACTATGATGACAATCATCATGAAGATGATAAGGATGATGACTCTTATGATAACTATCATCGTAGCATCCTCTGCGTTACCAAAGCTGCGGATGACTGTCATGATAACTATCATCGTAGCATCCTCTGCATTACCAAGGGTGCCTAACGCCACATTTGAAATGTATATAGAAGAAAGATAGAAGAAAGAGATGATGATGATGATGACAATCATGATGACAATCATGGTGACAATGATGAAGGTGATGACTATGATGACAATCATCATGAAGATGATAAGGATGATGACTCTTATGATAACTATCATCCTCTGCATTACCAAAGCTGCGGATGACTGTCATGATAACTATCATCGCAGCATCCTCTGCATTACCAAGGGTGCCTAACGCCACATTTGAAATGTATATAGAAGTAAGATAGAAGAAAGAGATGATGATGATGATGATGACAATCATGATGACAATCATGATGACAATCATGATGACAATCATGATGACAATGATGAAGGTGATGACTATGATGACAATCATCATGAAGATGATAAGGGTGATGACTCTTATGATAATTATCATCGTAGCATCCTCTGCATTACCAAAGCTGCGGATGACTGTCATGATAACTATCATCGTAGCATCCTCTGCATTACCAAGGGTGCCTAACGCCACATTTGAAATGTAAATAGAAGTATAGAAGAAAGATAGAAGAATAGAAGAAAGAGATGATGATGATGATGACAATCATGATGACAATGATGAAGGTAATGACTATGGTGACAATCATCATGAAGATGATAAGGATGATGACTCTTATGATAACTATGATCGTAGCACCCTCTGCATTACCAAAGCTGCGGATGACTGTCATGATAACTATCATCGTTGATGACAATCATGATGACGATGATGAAGGTGATGACTATGATGACAATCACCATGAAGATGATAAGGATGATGACTCTTATGATAACCATCATCGTAGCATCCTGTGCATTCCCAAAGCTGCGGATGACTGTCATGATAACTATCATCGTAGCATCCGCTGCATTACCAAGGGTGCCTAACGCCACATTAGAAACGTAAAGAAGAAAGAGATGATGATGACAATCATGATGACGATGATGAAGGTAGTGACTATGATGACAATCATCATGAAGATGATAAGGATGATGACTCTTATGATACCTATCAATGTAGCATCCTCTGCATTAGCAAAGCTGCGGATGACTGTCATGATAACTATCATCGTAGCATCCTCTGCATTACCAAAGGTTCCTAACGCCACATTTGAAATATGAAGTTACGTGACAGAGCTTCAGCGCTGAAAGCTGTGCCCAGCAGGTAGTTGAGCACTCTCGGCCTCCTCAGCTCAGGGGCAGTTGGTGTAGTGGCATCGCCCGCTCAGCATGCGAGAGGGGCCGCCTGTCCATGCCCATGTGCGCCTGCGTCTGTCACAGTTTGCCTATCCCTGGTCTTTCTCCCTTTCGGTTTGCTGTGCGTCTTGCCAAGGGCGGCTGCTGCGCCGCGGCCGGGTGCCGAACGTCACTTTTGAATCCTATATAGAAAGTAGAAAGCTATCGGTCAGCAAGAACAGCTTCGCGTCCAGCGCGCTTGGAGGCCGCACTCGCTTCGCCGCAGCGAGCACGAACCAAAGGAGTGCGCCGGCAGCCTGCTCCGCCGCGGCCGGGTGCCTAACGTCGCGTTTGAGTCCAATATGCAGTAAGGCTATCGGTCCAGAGGGAGCGGCCAGCCACAAAAGCTTCGCTTCCCGCGCTTTTCCAGGCCGCACTCGTTTGTCCACAGCGAAGGCGTGCGCCGGCAGCAGAAAGGAAAAGGAAAGAAACCAAAGGAGTGCGCCGGCAGCAGAAAGGAAGAAAAGAGGCCGAACGGGTGGGCCCGCACTCGTTTGCCCACAGCGAGCACCAACCAAAGGAGTGCGCCGGCAGCAGAAAGGAAGAAAAAAGGCCGGACGGGCGGGCCGAAAACTGTGCCCTGCATGCAGGTGCTTGAGCGCTTTTCCAGGCCGCACTCGTTTGCCCACAGCGAGCACCAACCAAAGAGTGCGCCGGCAGCAGATAGGAAGAAAACAGGCCGAACGGGCTGGTCGTGACAGAGCTTCAGCGCTGAAAGCTGTGCCCACCAGGTAGTTGAGCACTCTCGGCCTCCTCAGCTCAGGGGCAGTTGGTGTAGTGGCCGCTCAGCATGCAAGAGGGGCCTCCCGAGGGCCGCGCACCTCTGGCTGGCCGGTGGTTCCCACCACCTGCACTGGGGGACACATCATCATGGCTGAGATGACCACGAAGACCTGAAGGCCCTGCACGAAGCCCTTAAGCCGTCTCGCAGATGCGGCATATTTGAAACTCCTCCGCACATTCGTCACACACCGGCATGTCACAGACGTCGCAATAATTGCCTGTCGGCAAGCCACACCATGTACAAGCCGGCAGGAGCGGGTGACCAGGGTCCCCGCAGCCCTCTGCTGATCGTCGAGGACACGCACGTGGCGAGGCTCGGCCCATGGCGGGTCTTCCCAAACCCGGCTGGGGCGCAAATAGGCGGCCCATACTGAGAAGATGTCCTGTCCAAAATGGCCTCCAGGTATTGCGGGTAGATGCTGGTGACTCGCATGTCCCCATCCACAAACGGGGCAAGGTCATCCCGTGTGAGGCGGCGCGTCCCTGCTTCCCAGTCCAGGGACCGCCCTCCCAAGGGGACCACCACACCTGCCACAGTCCAATCTGGGTGAAGCCATGGGAACTGAAAGCCGCCGTAGCTCCTGTTGCACCTGACGCAATCGGCCTCGGTGCATGGGACTTCCAAAATAGGCAACCCCTGCACCATGGTTGGAACCGACTCATAGGGCTTGTGCAACACAATGACGACATTGGATAGGTGCGCCATGGCCAGAGCACGCGCCATCCCTGCCGCGGCTTCCAGGAAGGCGCGAAGATTGCGTGGCGTGTCCACTGGGACAGTCGCCCATGCGGCCGTGCGGAATACATGGCCGAACATCAAGCAACCTGATCCTGGACACAAATACGAAAGAAAGCTGTTTTGGCTCAGCTTGAGCCAAAATGGCTACGGCACGGCGAGCACATTTTAACTCAAGCTTACATGTTCCCTGAATGATGCCATGTCACCCAAGGCCTGCCAAGCACTAACATGGAACAGGTATCATCCTAGTCATCATCTTCATCATGATCAGCATGAGGGTCATTATGGTTTCGTATTACTTCTTACTTCTTGTATACATTTCAGAAGGGACGTTAGATAGCATTGGTGATGCAGAGAATGCGTCGTCATGATTATCATGATGAGTGCTGGTGGTGCTGAGGATGCGTCATAATGATTATCATGCGACTTGAGATGCAAAAGATGCGTGGACATGATTATCATGATGACTGCTGGTGATGCTGAGGGTGCGTCATGATGATTATCAGCCGATTTGTAATCGACGTCATCGTCCAGCATCATCCAGGGGGGTGGGGTCTGATCATGACTCAAGTACGCAGGGTTGTGGCTCGGCTACTGGGGTTCAAGTTTACAGTGAAACCAAAAACAAGATCAAAATTTGACCAGGGCGAAAATTTAACATTTCACCCAAAAGAAACCAAAGAAACCAAAACCAAGGGCACTGTTTTCTTTTGCTCGAAAACCACAACTAAATCCAGGGGTCGGCGGCACTGGGCGGCAGCCCTTAAATGGGCTCTTGCTCCGAAATTGTGGGGTGAGACCCCGAGTTTTTTTTCTGGTCAGTTTGAGTGTCGAACATCTTTGAGGCCGCCTTGACCAAGACCTGCGGCACCTCCTCGCCCACTAGGGCCCGCAGCGCCTGGACACCCGGAAAACGCCCGTCTCGGTGTCTCTTCTTGTGCGGCACCCGGTGCACCCACCGGAAACCAAGAGGATCTCCCCCATCTGTGTCGTGTTTTAGGGTTTTTGGTGGGTTTGAAGAGAAACCAAGAGGAGCATCCAATCCATTTTGGGGTCCCTAATTTAAAGACACACCCAAATCCAAAAACTCCTCACTTTTTTGGATCTTGATGAAATATGGATTATGAATTCCCTGATAAAACGTGATAAAACACAGAACATCACATAATGGCCAAAACATGCTGTAGACTCTTGGAATGTACAAGTGCGGTCACCACATCCAACTACAAAACCTTGGATACGGGTCAATGTTGCAATATGAAAGGGCACCCGACGGGTTGCAATAACAAGAGGTCACCAACCAATCAAGCAGTAGTATGCCCAAACCAGGCATGAACATTGACATGCATTGACAGTTGGAAGATCACTAAAACTTGGCACCACAGAAACAAGAATTGTGGAAGCGGACCATTTGGGGCTTTTGAGGACCCCAAAATCTCCTTATCCACTTTGAGAATTGCTGAATACAGGGCACCCGTCGGACGTGTCCAGGGGCTCACCTGGGGAACTTTGCCCAGGATATCTTGCCCCAAACGAGGCTCAGGGTACCCCGATTCCTTCCAAAGATCCTTTCAAAAAAGCTGCCAAACAAGAAGAACCGTCTCTTTTTGACCCAACCCCTGGAAGTAGCAGGTTTTTCTCTGGCCTTATGTTGTGAAAATCACAAGGGCCCCCTCTTGAAGGGCTAAAGGGCTCTGATTGTGCCGAAAACATTCATGTGTCAAGAAAGCAACTGGCGGAACTTTGGGTTTACTACAGGCTTCAAATGCGGCTGGCCCGCTAAAGGAGGCTCACCCAGTATCAACCCCCCCCCAGCCAGAAATCGAATGCCTGAAATGCTTCAACCTACTCCCAGCCTGTAGAAAAACTATTTGGAAGCCTTTCTGGTTGGTGGATTTCATCGATGGGCCCCGAGCCACCAAACAAAGAGGGATTTGGCCACTGAACAATCTCTACACCAGCTTCTCGGCTTGGCGGAGTAATGTTGGACCCGCATTTGCGGAGACCTGGTGACTTGGTGGATTTAGCAGTGTGCAGTGTGCAGGCTGCGTCCCCCCTATTCATCAATCGAGCGGAGGCTGCTTTAAGGCACCCTGCGCTTGGCTCTTAAGTTTACAGCAGGAAAACATGTTCCGCAAACAGGACACACATGAAGGTACCCTCCCTTCCTTTGTAAAGGGGGGGGACTCTTCAAAGAAAGAAACAGAAAGCAACCTGCTGAAGGTCTGGCTTCAAAATCCCGGCTGAAGGCAGCCCTTGCACTGTTTTGCTTTGCCAGCGACAGGATTACTCCGCATCGCTGGGTTGCCAGCAATACGACAGAAGGATTGGCCGGCGAGGTTCACTGGAGCAATTCTCGAGCTTTCCCTGCAAATACAAAAACGAAAAGTCGTAGACTTTGCAAAACAAACCCATGCTTTTAAGGTTCGCAGGGGAAATTGGTTTCGAATGTGGGTCAAGCGTGTGACTTGTTTCGCCGGTTCCCGAGTTGTGGCTGATTGGCTTCATACAACGCAAGCGCGGGATAAGGCAACAATGAAATGAGGAGGAAACCTAAATGAGAAAGTCCCCAAACCCCTGGCAGCTGATCTGCCCGGAAAACATCTTGACGTGGGTATGACTTCGAATTGGCGGCCCTTTAGTGAAATCATTTGACTATAGACTGGAATCCCCTTGGATTGTAGAGCCATCTCTGAAAACATCAAAGGGCACAAGATCCAAGATCCTGGTTGCTTAACATGTTGCGGCCAACCCCAACCAACACAAGAAGCAAGGGTTCAAATCCAAAGAACCAATCCACCACCAATTTAAGGGTTACCTGATATACTGCTTCTGGGTTTGCCTGTGTCTTTTTTCAAAATGGCAGAAAGACTTGGTCCATCTTGATGCCTCATGCCGCAAAACGCCAAAAACTCGCCCCGGTGACCTGGCCAGTCCCAGGCAAAAGTCGCGGGAAACGAATGCCGAAGCGGTCCATCTCCGCCGGTGTCGCTTTTCGGACCCGAGTGGCCCTGTGCTGCCAAAAGGGACAGTGCACAGAGCCCGAAAGGCCGACCTTTTGGTGACACGGTTTGCTGTTCAGAAACCAAGGGATTGACCACGCACTTTAGTGGGGAAGACACGAAACGAAAAGGACAAAAGGGTGCCACTCAACAAAACAACTACTGAAAAGCTTGAACCTTTGGCATGGACTGCATCACCCAAACCTCGAAACTCTGCATAACTAAGTCTAAAGATCTGGGATGACCCCACACGAATCAGTCATGGTCATGGCGGCATGACCACATTTGCGTAGGGTCTTGGAGGTTCTGGGCATAGCAATGCAATGCCCGAAGGACGTTTAGGTGGGAGTTCATGTCCGATCACTTTGGAGGTGATTCCAACTCTTGAAATTCATCGCGACGACAAAGGACGGCACTCGCTTCCAACGCCCAGAGAAATGAAATGCATCTCGATGCCAAATCCCGCGCTCAAGTTCTCGCGGTCGGCAACCGAGTTGGCGCCTCTGGCGGGTTGGCCAAAATTCAGCCGCTAGCTCGTGAAATGTGGCGTGAATTCCTACGGGCTCCCATGCATCTGTAGCCTTGAAGCCGTGATGATGGTGAGCTCGCCTTTATCTTTGTTTTTTACGCCCAGGTAAGCTCGCCAGAGACCAGGCAAATAACAATGTGTCCCAAAATAATTCACTGTCTGACAAGGAAAAAGCAGGCATCCAAAAATGTGAGTTGCTGGGACTCCAATAACACACCGATTCCATACAGAAGTGGGGACGAGCGATTCAGTACAAAAACCACACTCAGCCAATTCTACGCGTATACCAACAACGCTGACTCGAAAACTACTCGCACGCCCAATTCAGACCACATTTGTGATGAGTTGTTCTGTTCTCCAATTGTGTGGGCCTCGAGCTACACCGCACACAACAATTACTTTACTTAAGACAATCCCCACTTGAAACATTCGTTGGGCTAAACTAGACGGCGGCAACGTCAAATCAAAACGGAGCCAAGGCCGCCTTGACCCTGATTCATGAGGCAAAGCTGCCACAAAGTCACTCTTCCTGTGTGGAGATCCCCTTCACAAGTACAAGTTCCCACAATTCCACGAACAATAAAATGCACCAAGGGACGCTCTGGTAATATTGTTTCTTTGCATGGTTTGCCAAACAGCGCCCGGCGCCCATGAAACAAAAAGGCTTGTCGTACTTGAATTTGATGGGAAACCCCTCTGTGTTAACAACGCCATTTTGGTGGCAGTCGATTTTAACAGGACAACCGTGTTGTGGTAGATTGTTGTAAAAGGAAACACTCTAAAGCAGTAGCAAGTTGACAAAAAGCGAAGAAACACATGCCCCCCCAAAAAAAGAAAAAAGAAAAGAAGTCAGGGATCACCGGAATCGATACTCCTTTCATCCCAAAGGGTAAAGGACACAAAACCAACTGTTGGGTTATTTCCCATCTTCCCCTTACAAGAACCAGGAAATCACCCCCCCCCCAAAAAAATAATATCCAAACCACAAGGTTAAGTGCCCTGGAATAACTATTTGCAGTAATGACACATCTCCGGTAAAAAACAACAACAGAGAAACAACAATCTGAAACGCACATGGTCTACACCAACCACCGGGGCCCTGGTTCGGAACCGCCCGCTTTCTCGGATCGCCCTCTCTCGAGGTTCCCCCGTCGGATCGTCGGATCGGTCGGCCTGCGTCCGCCAATTTACTTGGAGAGGATGGCAAGCGCCTTCTCCCCCATGAGATCTCCGTACTTCGTTGCCTCCGCCTTGTCCTGGCGAACGCGCAAACTAGCGGCCTGAGGAGCAGACGGCCTGAGGAGCAGACCGTTTTTCTTTTTCAGGTCTGCGGTCGCATCAAAGGTTTTGTTCGGGAACCGCACAGGTCTCTAAGAAACCAACGAAGGGTACGACCCCATGTTAAAGCCATGGGAACAAAAGGGCGTAACCCTTTTTGGTAGGGCTTCAAAACGGCTTCAAAACGGCTTGCCCTTCTTATGATCGTTGGCCTTAAAGGGACACCCTCCAAAAAGGAGCAATGGCGCCGCTGCACGTCCGGGGTCTCAAAACCTCTGAAAAGTTGGATTTTGATATCCAAAGCTTGGTTTCCTGTGGGCTTTTCATTATTTAACAAAAGCAACCAAAAGGGGGACAGTTCCTAAAACACACACACACACATGTGTCTTGTTCTGCCTTATGTTTTTGGTTCCAGCCACATATACTTTTGTTGCGAGGCTCGGAACCCTTTGTTGCGAGTAGATTTAAAAGGGACACCAAAAGAAACACAACCAGCTTACACGGGGGTCGCCCAATTTTTGACACAAACCGAAACTGCCTGGAATTTTCTGGAGCACTTCCTGATCAGTCAGCATGAGTTTCACGGTCCTCCAAAAAGGGACCAAGGGGGACTGTGTGGTGACCCGAGGGGCAGAAATAGAAAATTGGAACCGCTTTAGATTAAAACAGGATAGGACATGTTGACCCCGCATTCATATGAATATCCTGCTTTGGCATCCGGACGAATTCATTCCCAGTGAATAGACAGCATTGCTTATTTGTTGTTTCAATGTGGGATTTTCCAGACAAAAACGTGCTTTTCATGCTCCTGGGTGCTCTTTGTTGTCGTTTGTTCTTCAAAAGAAACCCTTCCATGCATTGATGCTGAACTTTAAGGGCAATATGTCTGCTGTTGCTTTCTTTGCAAGGAACTCTGGGAACTTGTCATTTGTAGAAAAGCATGCAGCGAACCCGTTCTGATTTGATTGTGGACACCCTCATCCCTTCTAAGAAGGTTCCACTGGTTCACCGTGGAAACGGGCAAGCCAGCTGGTTTCGACCCCATGATTCCCAAGATATTCAATCAAGTGATTCCCCGAAAGTGAGGCA